TAAATGGTAGAGGAGTATCAACACACTTAATTCTGAGCTTATGTTTCCAGCCTCTTTGGGCACATCCTGAAATGGTGCCGGAAGAAGTCTGGACCGTTTTGCTAATGCATTCAATCTCTCCCTCCCTTTTTATCTAAAAGCATCTTCAATTACTCTTTTATTTTCATTTCTGCCTTTCTAGGACCGAAATGAACAGCCTGGGAAGTAGAAAAGAAAAACCTGGATTCAGCTCTTACTCCTGCAACAGTTCAACAGGATCCATTGGAGCCAGAGGGATGTGGCATTTGGCCTCTGAGGAAAAGCACTCTAAACTCTTTTCCTTCCTCCTGAGACACCGTTTCACCTCTACTGCCCCATAGATCCAGGTATGTGGTAATTCCAGAGGAAGCATGCACTGATAATGAGTATCTTCCCTCTTTAGTTTACTCTGGACCTTCTGTTCTCAAGTAAGATACAGCAGCACTTGTTTTTTTCACACATGAACTTCCACTTTCAATTTTAAACTGGAATGGAACTGCTTATTATATGTGCTATGCACCAAAGCTCTTCTTAAAAGAGACTGATCTTGAAGAAATTACCAACATTGAGGCCAAATTTTGAAGAGTTTTTTCAGATGGAGGAAAAAGTTGTGGGGTTTCTTTGCTTTCCATTAATACGTGGGGACAGAGCTGAGAGATAAAAAAAAGATTGCAGATTTAAAGGACACTTGGTAGCGCATGTGCCAGATACTGATAGCTATATATAGCCCCTTGAAGGAGAATGACTGCAGAGAGTATCTTATCCAGGCAAATAGGAATTTGCCTGAGTAAAATCAGGGTAAAAATGAAAAGAAAAAAAACAAACTCAACATTTAATCTATTGTGCATTACTTCTGCTGCAGAAGAAGTTGTGTAAGTACTCCGTGAAGTGAAATAAGAACACGTCCTTACGATGACCTTATCTACATTTCACATAAATGTGCTCCCAAATTTAACAAAACCAAATCTTCCTTTTTTACCATTAGACTGATAGTCATTCCTGAACACAACCTCTATTTCCTTGTTCCATAACCCTTAAGAGAAGTAAGTAAAGGACAATAGGTAAGGCTTCTTCAATGTAATAAAAAAGCAGCATGCAGCCTCTAAAATGAAATTTGAAAACAGAACTCAAATATAAAGAACATGATTTGCCATCCTAGGTTTTTCTTACTGTTTCACTCAAGAACATTTTAGAAAAGAGAGGCACTTGATTTCTCTGCCTTTTTTCTTCTATACCCTTGTATCAAATTTCTCTTCCCTTTTATCCAATACAGTGGGTACCTAAGCAAAGTAATTTATAAGTAGTTTAAAATGTGAAATAGCAGTACTTGAGATGATGAGCTATCATTTCTACATAGCAGTATGATAATTTTGGGAGGACCAGGAGGTTGGGTATGGATTCTAATTAACACTGATGTACCTTGGTCCTAAAGATTAAATTCCCAAATGAGTAACTGCTACCTTTCTACACACACGTCTATCCAAATTATTCTCATTAAAACAATTAAAAAAATTTATAAGCTTCAGCCTGTGTCAAGGTATTGAAGGCTTTCCAAAACTGATTAAAAATATTATATGAGGTATTGAACTGCATTAAAAATCAACCTTTTTCATGTATTGAAAAGTAATGGTCTATAATTTGTATTCAACTGATTTTATTGCCAGTGAATAATAATTGTACTGCAGCCAACTCTGTGCCCTGTTTCTCTGAAAACCTCATGGGATGTACAGAAGAGGAGTTTGTATCCTGCTGAAGACACACACACTTTGTATGACACTTCTTATTCTCCAGTCCTTACAGGGAGGCTTAACTTGGTTTCATTATGTATTTATTTTTCCATTGAAGGTTCCTTCAAACTGGTAAACACAAATGAAAGTGCATAGGTATCACAGAATCATAGAATGGTTTGGTTTGGAAGGGACCTTAAAGATCATCCTGAATCATGCCCCTTGCCATGGGTAGGGACTCCTTCCACTAGACCAGGCTGCTCAAAGCCCCATCCAACCTGGTCTTGAACAATTCCAGGGATGGGGCATCCACAGTTTCTCTGGGCGACCTTTTCGAGTGCTTCACCACTCTCACAGTGAAGAATTACTTACTTATATCTAATCTAATCCTACCCTCTATCAGCTTGAAGCCCTTGTCCTATCACTACATGCCCTTTACAAAGTCTCTCTCCAGCTTTCAGTTTTGGTCAATGTATGAGTGAGTCACCAGCGTCCTGGCAGCCAGGAGGGCCAGTCATGTCCTGGGGGGCATCAGGCAAAGCATCACCAGCCGGTTGAGGGAGGTGATTGCCCTGCTCTGCTCTGCACTGGTGAGGCCTCACCTTGAATATTGTGGCAGTTTTAGGTGCCACAATATAAGAAAGACATTAATCTATTAGAGAGTGTCCGAAGGAGGGCAATGAAGATGGTGAAGGGTCTTGAGGGGAAGCTGTATGAGGAGCAGCTGAGGTTACTTGGTCTGTTCATCCTGGAGAAGAGAGACTGAGGGGAGACCTCGCTGCAGTCTACAACTTCCTTGTGAGGGTAAGAGGGGGGGCAGACACTGATCTCTTCTCTGTGGTGGCCAGTGACAGGACCCAAGGGGAATGGTCTGAAGTTGTGTCAGGGGCGGTTTTGGTTGGATATTAGAAAGAGGGTGTCTCTGCTGGAACGGGCTCCTCAAGGAAGTGGCCACAGCACCAGAGTTCAAGAAGCGTTTGGATGATACTCTCGGGCACATAGTGTGACTCTTGGGTATGGTTCTGTGCAGGGCTAAGAGTTCGACTCGATGATCCTTTTGGGTCCCCTCCAACCCAGCATATTCTGTGATATTCTGTGAACATTCCTCCCTGTAGCAATACCAGTGGGTTACCAATTTCAACTTGTGCCACTTGGGATTGAAAAAGGTAGAACAAAGTAAACATCAGGGTCAAGGAAAAAAAGCTGGCCAGTTGTATCACCAGGACTCTCAGCTCTCTTGACATTGTCTTGCATTGATCTTGCAGATCTAAATATTGTCCTTCATCAGCTCCAGTTTCAAATCCCAACACCTATAGGACCTACTGTTTGTCTTCTTAGTAATTTGTCCATCATTTTTCATAATATTTATTTTTAACCTACTATACAATGGCTTTTGTCCACCTCCTTCAAATTCAGTTAAATGTTTATTTTATGTTATCAAATACTGTTTTATTGGTACTGCATCATATAAAATCTGTGAAAAGTTGGTGATACTTTAGTGGCTACTCTGCAGTCCACTCTCTCCTACCATAATCTACATTGCCATCAGTATCCAAACAAGTTTAAAGCTATCTCAAATACGACTACATGTCTAGAAACTGCAGTACAAACTTACTGTTACGCATCAGCATGGATTACATACAACAAATGAAATCTTTCTTTCCTGAGGTAGGCAAATTTGGAATGCAAATGGTAAATCCTGAATTTCAGACAAAAAAATGATTGCCTATCAAAACTACTTTCCAAACTAGTCCTTAGAGCATTGCATACATGTAAAGGGGGAAAATGCAAAAGAGCCAGATAATTGCCACAGGCATGCTTAATTCTAACAATATTTCCCACTTGCACATAGAAGCACAAGTCTGAAAGACGCAATAATAGCTAAATGGATATTAGTATCTGCAATTACCTGATCTATCTGCACAATTACAGCAGTTTGTGAATGCTAAATTTGTGTATGAAATCTGGCTTAAGAGGCTAAACAACCCCTTTTTCCGGAACAACATATCACCTATGTGCTGTTTGGAACTGATGGAATTTTCACTTATAGAAAAACCACAGAAGTAATTGCTTCCAGAGAGATTTCTCTCCCAAACCAAACCAAAGGGGGAATACAAGAGTCAACTCCATTTCTGAAAAATGGGCATTAAGAGGCCAGAGAATTCTTTCAAAAATTAGATTTTCCTCTCCTTTAACAATGCCAGAAACAAAATTTTAAGACTAAAAACATATCAAGACACACCACAGCTGTCAAGTAAGAGTAAACAATTATTGTCTCTTCTCTGAGAAAGTCACAGGGATTCAGTCAAATAGTCTTTCAGTCCTATAAATACTATGAATTTTTAAAGTCACGGGAGTGCTACCAATTTGCATAAGAGGATGATGAGACCATCTTTGAACTGGCATACAGGCCTCTGAATACACCCCTGGAAAAAAAAAATCACCCTTTATTCTGCCAAAATCGGTCATTTCCTCCCCATCTAAAAAGACCAAACAGAAAATCACAGTCAAAGTGATAAAGCAAAATGTCCTACTGGCATAAAATGAATGTGAAATAAATGAATGTAAAGAAGAAATCTTTCATTTTTACTGCTGATAACAGAAATGTTGTCTAGAAGCTTTTTCAGACACTTTTTCATACTTGTAGCATGGGTCAACCCACTACACCAGGTTTCTACAGATGGCAATTCCTTAAGAAGCAAACCTCAGTCTTCTCAGAGATTGGAATGAAACATAAACTACGAACTAAAAGGAGAGTTTCCTTGCTGTATTCTCATCTATTCCACAAGTTTCATAATGTTTTTCACAAATTTCATACTGTATAAGTAATTTTTTTAGATTGTGAAACTACTTTGACATCGAGGGTAGCAGAACTACTCCTGATCACATGCACTTCATTTCATCTTTGCCACAGAGAAATAAGTCAATGAACAGTAAGAAGCAATATACCTGCCTAGAAAAAAAAAAAATCCAGATTTCATATGTGGACACTCAGAAAAAAATCAGTGAAATAACATATACTACTAGAAAATGCGCCTTTGTAGGAAGTGTTATGGTCCTGAAGACAGCGAGCATTTCACTGTTGAGATACATTCAAATTACTGTGAGGCTTCTACTTGCAATTTACTATGTCAATGTTACAAAAAAATTTCAACATGCAAACTAATTGTTAAAAATGTGTAAAAGAAACAGGTGCAATAAGGCATCATCCATCCATCTACAGAGGTATGTCATAAGAAGTATAAAAACACTTACTTCTTCTTGCTTAGGAATGCTGAACTTGGCTATCTTTGACTTGGGCCTGGCCGAATCAGGCTTGTTGGAAGGCACTCCCCTATATGATTTGGTCATCTCTGCTGGTAACTTCAGCTTTGGAGACTCATCAGGAGCCTGGTCTTGACCATCCATTGGCCTTACATAAGCTGTTGGTTTCTGCTGACCCAGACTGGGCTTTGAAGCAAGAGAAGGTGGGAAGTTTTGGACGCAGTGCCCACCACCATGCTTTGCTGGCCTCTCTTGTGCTTGAGTTCCTCCTTCTGAGCTACAACTGAGCTTTGTTGGCTGCTGCACTCTACTGATGTTGTCTCCTAACGTCGCCCTCAGTGAGCTTTGCTGGGCAGAACTGGAGGAGGAGGAAGAGGAGGAGGAGCAGGAGGAGGAAGAGGAGCAGGAGGAGGAGGAGGAGGAGGAGGAGGAACAGGAGGAAGAGGAGGTGGGACTTGATGCATAGCGTTTTAGTTTCTCCAGATTGGATTTTTGGTTCGCCAACTTGAAGTCACCCTTGTGTGACTCCAGCGACCGGTGTCCGTGTTTGCTCACTCTCTGCTGGCCATCTGAAGTGGCATTACGCCCAGTCTTCTGCCAGCCCATCGTGGTACTTTTGCTCTGCTGGGCAGCTAGGGATGCTGGTTTGGAAGAAGTAGTGCTCAAAATGGGAGGAGGAGGTGGCAGTCTTGAGTCTGCAATAAAATGGTCATCAGGCCTGGGGAGAGACGTCTGAGGAACCCCAGGTTTTGGAACCCCAACGAGATGGCTCTGGTTTGATCGGTCAGTTAACAAGTCTTTCATTTCATCATAGTTGCCCAACGTATTCTGGATGCGATTGGAAAGCTCATCCCCCTTGTTAGTCTGCAAAACAAAAATTGAGTGTTCTGCAACAGTCAATGTAAGAAAAACAAAGTTCCCTGCGTGATTCTGCTCAAATCCTTACTGAAGTAGCACTGTCTTATTCAGCAGCAGCGTTGAGGGATGAAATCGAAAATCCTTATTGTCTCTGAAGACACTTGTCAACATCTTAAATCTACCCTGAACTGGAAAAGCTATAAAGGGCCTTAGAGTATATAAAAAAAGAAATCTATCACTGATATCATGCCGTACTTAAAGTATATTACCTGGAAACTGGAAAATTTATTATTGCAACTACACAGAATGGTTTGGATTAAATCTGACCATGATAAAACTTTTCCTATAGCTCAACACAAGCTCTCCTTCAGCCATGAATGAAAACACTGCATTCCCAATTTCCTCCTCTGCCTGCCTAAGTTTTCATAACCATCTGGGAAGCCACACAACGTCCCATGCGAGCACTGAACAAATTCATCAGTCTAAGCCAGCCAAATGCTATAAGGTGACTTGAAAACAGTTTGTGGGAAATGAGAAAAGTACAGATGATTATGTCCCTTCTTTGAAAATGCTCTGACAGGATGCTCATTCCAAGGCACTCTCCTCTTTTAAAAAAAAAGTAAACAGAACCCCCACCAAGTTCTTCACATTGCTCAGTGTTTGCTGTGAGTAGCAGAGGGAACACAGACACTCTTCCTACCCTTTAAGATTAATTATTGTCTTAAAAATAACCCATTTACTTCCTGACTGAAAAGGCAGAAGCTTCACAAAGAAATAAAACAAGCAAATAAAACATTCTGGAAAAGATTGAAGACTCCTGCTTTAAAAAGCCACTGTAAGCAAAAGGGTGTATCATTAGCATTTATGCAGTAGGGATTTTTCTGAACCCTGCCAAGATTCAGGCGTGTGATGTCCTTTGCTTTACATTTTCAGAGGAAGACAGTAATGAGGCAGTGCAATTCTCCTTTCTCTCTTCCAGACATGGGGTCTGAATGGGAAAACTCCAATTGGTTTCAGAAGGCCAAGCTTTCATCTTGAGACTCTCTGTTTTAGAGGAAAATAGAAAGAAGGAGAAAGAAGGGAGAAAAAGGGACTGGAGAAGATCCCCTTAAAGTTAAAAAATATGAAAGATGTAGCAACCACATCAGTCACTCTAGAAAACTGGGATATGTAAGGGAAGGTATGTAAGGGTAACACCCAGTTTGGAACAATGCTTTTTTAGGGTTTCCTAGTAGGAAAGCTTAACCCAAGCAAAAACGCCTCGTAAATGAGTGCTGTGATTGCCAAATGCAAATTTTCAGAGGACTACAGTGGAAGCATTCTTAAGTCAAACAGTAGAAGCAGTTCTGTCTTGCTTGAAACTTTTGCCCTCAAATTTCAAGGACACTACCTTGTAATTATGTAAAATGTATCCCAGCTAGTTTTCTGATACATATTTGTTACTATGCTAATAGAGCTGAATATATATCAACAATACATATTGAAGGAGAGTGGGAAGGGAAAAACTCAAAAGTGTTGCATCCAAAACTTTGCTTTTCAAACGTGGAATAAGATGGCTCAATCACTACAGCCTGATCTTCCCTCTGCACATACAGCTGTTATTGTCATAAAGACAACAACCTGCTATGGAGAGAACTATGAAGCATTAACTCATAGACAGCAAGTGCTTTAAAAAAGGGTGTTCCTTCACAGGAATCACATCAATATCCGAAAGAAGAGGAAACTATTAATGAGGCTTCAAAAGTAGGAAGCATCACATACATCTGAAAAGAAAGAAGGTTGGAGATACACTCACATGTCTCCTGGAGTCAATAAAATAACTTCTACATTTGGGCATCTCCTTGGCCAGCAGAATTGTTTTCCAGAAGACATAGGGAATTTTCCTTTTTCCCAGTGGATCTCTTCTATGTTTCCTGTGGTTTCTCCACCTTGTGCAGATTCCTTGTAGAGAAATATTTTTCCAGCTTCCCTCTATGGAGGGAGATCTGTCCTTGGGCCTGCACTCAGTCTGATTCAGCCAGTGTGTGTATGAGGTTTGTTTCCCTGCCAGAGCATGGCAACAAGGACCACCAAATGGAATGGGGTCCCTGGCACCCACAAGTCTCCTACAGCATGGATAGCTTGTGAGGGCAGTTCTCCACCTCGATGCCGCTAGCTCCATGAGTATAAAAGAATTGTGTGCAAGTTTTGCCCCTGAGAAATCCAACTTCCCTAAAAGAAGGTTTATTTTTTTCTAATGGCTGCTATTTGGATGGGAAGAAAATAAAAGCCTCATTGCAGATTATCTGTAGACTATCATTAGCTCAGAAAAGTCATCAGTTTGTCTTTTATATGGATGTGATGTGAAGGTCACACATAGACATCTTGTATTGAGAGATCCCAGATAACCACAAGAATAATTGCAGCAAACTGGTATCACAGCGTGCGCTGACAACTGGTCTGTGTTGTTTATTCCTTCAGGACACGCTGGGGATAACGTGAGGTGAGATTTTGTTTGGAGCTGATCTCATAAAGAAGAATTCAGCTAAATCCTCTTGGGAACATGATGGGATCTGAGGTAACCTGTTATGAGCTTTAGTTTGTCCTACTATTTGCTCTGAAATATTGCTGGCCTTATTTAAGCATTCACATAAGGAAAACATGGTCATAAAATGAGTAGCTAGGAAAAGCATTTTGTCCAAACATGTCTAACTTAGAGTGCTCTGATATTCTTCTGCAATGCAAGATGAATCCATGCATTTGAAGATGGGAACATCCAACACTTCTAAAAATAAACCTGATGGCTGCCCAGAAGGCCATCAGAATTTTTTTCTTCATTAAAAATACTTACATGGTTAATGGGGCAAGATATTCTGTCCAGAAAATATCCAGAACTAATTTCCTATTTTTCACACCCCCCTCTAAAAGAGATTTTAAGTGAACGATACTGGATTTCCTGTAATCCTTCATAAAGGGTTGCTATGGATACTTTGAACAGGATAAGGGGCAACCCAAAGAGTCAGGATTTTTGAGAAAATTCGATGTTACAGTAGTAGTGATACATGTCAAGGTGAGAGAGGACATGAGATTTAAGAGATTTCCAATCTGCCTTTGATTTTCAGATATGGCCTTCTGAATGGCATATCCTTTGGCTTTAACTCATGTTTCTCAAGCTGTGCAGAGGAATACTGAATTTGATCAGAGCTTGCAGTGAATGTCTGCCATAATTTCATTCTCCTTTGGAAACACCCAAAAGCTGAACATCTTTAAATGCCCTAAGAATGAGTTTCAGTTTTGCTTTTGCAGAAAGGTTTCCTCTTTTGCAGTTAGCCTCTCTCCACAATAAGATCAAAATGCCCAAGCCACAGTTCTTTCCCCCACACCGAAAGTTCACAAATGCTTGGATGAGTTCAGATAGCCCAATGGTCCACTGCCAGCGTATACATGACATTTGGAGAATGTCACTGATGAAGTTTTGATGTCTAATACTACCAGAATGACTGGTCACCCCAAGCAACTGTGGCTGTCACACCAACAGAGCTGTGAGTTATACTGCTGTCCTGGGCTTTGCCTTTCGCCATGTTTCCTGGACAAAGTTAGCTGTAGGATGTATTTCTGCAGCACCTTCTTTACATGATTGTCCAAAACAGGGACATAGTGTTTAAAGATAAGAAGCAAGGATGGAGCCATTATTCTGATCACCCCACAGGATATCTGCTCTGTATCCTCTCTGCTTCTAGAGTTGGTAATTATTTTTCAATCATTCCTATTGGAGTTGACAGAATTAAACTGTGGTTGCATAGAGGTGCCTTCAGACATCGTAACTCAGAAACTCCTGGTGTGTCCCTGACATATCACGCCTGTGTCATGATAGTCAGTACACTGGCCCAGAGGTAATAATCAAAGTGCACAAAATATTCCAACTGCACCACTTTTATAAGTAATTTGAGCTTCAGTATTACCAACCTGAGGCACCACAGACAAAACAGTACTGGGGACCCAGCAAAAGGCCAGGTCCTTTTTGTGACTGGTCTATTCAACTGGACCTACCAAATGGAAAATCATTAGGTCTTCACTGAAACAGAGCCCTCAAGAAATACCTACTCACAGCTGACTTACGCTTTTCAGGCTCTGTTCCATGGATTAGCCCTTGACTGGTCTCACAGTAGACTTTTTCAAGTAGATCCTTGAGGAGTTCGAGGCATTTGCCATGGTTTCTAAATGTCTTTGTAATGAATCTGAAATTTGGGCAGCTGGATGTCAGCTTCAAGGCAGACAGAGCTGTGTTCCATCAAGGGACATGGTTTGAAAGTGGTAGATTTTTCTTTTTTATTAGGGACTAAATACAAACAACAATCTGGAAGAAGAGCAAACTAAAAGCTGACCCTGAAGCATGAGCAGAAAAATGGAAGCATGGAAGTCAAGTGCAGAAGCCAAGTGCCAGGTCCCAAATAGGCCTCATGGAAAGAGGAACTAAAGCACACAAAGCATCAAGGACAAGTGATGTTGCATGGAGGGAAAGACTTCACAATGTGGTGGTTGTAACAGTAACTTGGACACTACTGGAAAGGCACACCAGACAGTACATGATGATGCTTTGATGCATGCAGTCAAAGTCATTGGTTTAACTGGGGAAGAGGAGCAGCCTCTGTGGGATACTGCTGTCTGGTGCTGTTCACAAACACTCTGTTTTCAGCCTTCTGTAAAGTGTAGAAGATCCTGCTTGACCCTTCTAACATGGAGTGAGGAAAGACAGTTGTGCCTCATCAAACTAATGATTTACCATGAGAAGCAAAACAGGGAGCTGAGACTCCTAAGCTACTTCTGCCTTTGGTGAGGGTAAAACACATAGAGCAGATAAATTTTCTTGGTAATGCGTATAGGAAAAAAAAAGCGAACAGCAACATATTTCACTACATTAACCCTGGCCACAGCATAATGCTTACTGTACTGCTTGACCTTCACTCACTATTCTCACACAATTGTTTTCTTCTAAGTGTTGCAGAAACAGGGCACTGTCACCTTCACCTCCTAGCTTTAATTCCATCTCAAATATTGTTAGGATAGTTCTAGTTTATTTCACTCTTGCTGCTGAATACTATAAGAAGCTCTATACATATGCATATATATATATATATACATATACACACACACATAAAATTCGATTCTCAATGAATCATGCATATTCTCTGAGAATTTGGTGGGGAGGGTACTGACACCTGGACAATGCCTTCTGCAGACTGCATTTTTGAACTGTGGAATAAATAAATTAAAAAAGAGTCACACAGCTGGGAAGCATCTACCTTGTATGGTTCACTGAAGAGGGAATAGCTCGTGTTAAATGTGCCATCCTCCTGCTGGGCCTCCTGATTTCTCCTTTCCCATTCTTTCCTTCGCAGTACATTTCTATCTGGCTCATAGACACTGCAACAAAAAAAAGAGAAATAGTGTTTTAAGAGTTAAAACTTAGGTGGCAACATATAAACCAGTGTGCACTTAAAAACTTTTGCAGACAGATGGCAAAAATAAGCACCGACATGAATCAGATGAATGCCAGTTCAAGTAGGCTGGGGAGGCTCAGGTCTCTGGGAATGCTGGTGCTTTCTTCGCAGAGAATAGATAATTAAATTCTTACAGAAATATAAAAAAGAAATCACAGGGCAGGATCTAGTCTGTGCAGAACTTCTCTGCTTGAAATGTGATAAAGGAAATATCTAAGCAACTTTGACAAAGACTGAAAGTACTCTTAAGGCAGAGGGTAATTATAGCTATGAGTAAATAGAAATTATGAACATATTTCCATTTATGACATATCCTCTGAGTGTTGTATGCTTCTTTTTTTCACATGGATGTGTTTCTGTAGTGATTCTTTCATTAACTAGCTCCCTAAAGAGCTGTTAAAACTATATGCTGTAGTGGTTTCCACAGTTAGGTTGCTTCTTCTGATCTCTGTTAATCAACCAAGTCGTGAAACTACTACTAAAACAATTCCTCTTTCTGATGGATTTGACACTACCACAACTTCAGAACGTGAATAAATGAATACTGGCATGACTGTGTATGTATGGCTGGTAGAGTGTAGCTGGAGAGAGAATAAAATCACTGCATTACACAAAAGAATTAATTTTTAGAAATTAACTACTTTGGCTCCAATACAGACATTCAGAATAATTTTTTTCTTTTTTTTTTCCCCCCACAGAATTCTAGTTTAATGCATGACAACATAAGCCAGAGAAGCCACGCAGGTTTACACATTTCAGTCTGTTATGTTTTATTCTCCTCACAGAGAAAACCAACGTGTCTAACAAAGTTTATGTGTTATTTCAGGACAATGTGCCAAGTATGCTGATTGCCTGTTTTGCTTAGCTCAGCTAATGGTTTTCTTCTGGCACTGTAAATCTGTAAAGTAGGAATATATATTAATGTCATGTAAGTGCACAATGTGTTAATAAGAAAAACATCGTCTTGCTAACTAACTTCCCAGTTAGTAAAACATATGTTGCATTGGCTACCCACGTGATGCTACCTAGTATGCCTAAGGCAAGGCAGCCAAAAGGCCAACAGTGATCTGATTCTAATTCAAGACCTGAAGGAGCTGAAAATACTCAGGATATGTTAGGCACTATTAGCATTTAAAAACAATGCCTCAGCAGTCACCAAAAGAACACAAAATCTTGTGTTTGCTTGTTAATGCTGCTAACTCGAACTGGACTGCACAGTACCCTTCCGATGGGTCTGAGGGCAGATGCCAGGCTCCGAGCAGGGCTCTCAGACACAGGGGCTTATTGTAAAACACAGGGTTTCAGTATAGCAGGTTGGAGACAGCATCCAAATACATATCTGTTTATTCCACTTACAGGTAGTTGAGGGTTTTTTGGGTTTTATACCATATTTTTCACGAGCAATACATGTATTCAGGCCAACATGCTCTCCTTGGAAAGCAGTGTATGAGGTGGCAATTGTAGGGGTGGAATTTTGGAAAATGCCTTCCTCCAGGAAGAAGGGGATAGCGAAGGCCTCCCCATGGGGTCCCTGTGCACGAGATCATCTGCTACACATGCTGCCAAGGCCAGAGGCAGAGCAGTTGTCATTGACTGCTATGTGAGCAAAGGTCTTCAGTTACTACATCATGCCACTGAGCATACTCCCATCAGCTAAGTCAGTTAGCAACCGCCTCTGCGTCTAAAGCAGACTTTCTGCCACAATGACTAGCTGTTGTTAGGTTGGGTTTTTCTGGAGTTGCAGGGATCAAGTTATAACTTCATCCTCAGCTACATGACCCCATCTGGAATCTCTTCGCTCTTTGAGATGCTTTGTATTTGGACTTTAGCTTGCAGTTAAATAGAGAATGGGCAGTTTCCCTGAGATTAATTATAATACTGGTCTCTACCCAATTTCTAAGAAGTAAGCAAGTGCAACATTCTTCACTAGGCCTCATACAAATTTAAAAATGCACTGGTGTGATACTCCTGAAATGGAAGGACATTTTTATCCCTTTATTGGATAGAGACATACTTGATGAAGACATACAAGTTACCAGGTCTCTGAACCCCCTTCTCAAATGAGTTCACTGCTGGCAATGCAATGCACAACCTGCAATAATTCAGAATGATTATGCAAATGGCAGAACTGTGTGACAATGCCTAACATGCCATCTATAAGCAGTAAGTTAGCAAGAGCTACAAGTTGAGAGTTGTGTTCCTTTGGTAATACCAGATGGCAAAATGTCTAGCATTTGTGAGGCTGTTCTTTATTTGCATGAACATTGCAGCAATCGCATTTCATTGAACGTATGTCACCAAATGTATTTATTTGTTTTGGTTCAAGGAGAATACTGCCAACTGCTATAATTGTCTTTATTGCAAACACTTCAGTTAATGGAAAACAGTTCTTTTTAATAGTTTTCTTCTCTATTTTTTTTAATTTGCAATTTAAAACAATCCCAAAGGTACATCTACTTGTTAATCGTTTACAGCATGTCATTTCCACAGCTCAGACACGAAGAACAAGCTCGTGAAAATCTCATGATTTTTTCTTCATTGGGGCATATGTACATATGTGAGTGATATCTACATATATATGTGTAATATCCATGCTTATACATCAGTTTATTGATGAAGAATTTTTCTAGTATGGGCCAAAATGTTGAAGCAGTTTTGTAAGACTTGGAAACTAAAGAACATGCAAATACTCATCTCTCAGAAGTCACTGTCATTTATATTTGTTTCATACAGGTCAAATTCCAAAAGGGTGAATTTAAATAGTTTTTATATGGTATACCATTAGTTTTAAAATGCTGCATCTGTTTCAAATTCATGCTTAGAGGACACAAACCAAAGCACAGGAAACAAGTCAAATACTTGCAAAAGTTATATATGAATAAAGGTTGTATGATAGAAATTAAACTATCTCAAATTTGGCACACTGCTTTTTTTGATTTATCTCAACCCTAACATCTGCCAAGGTACACACTGGATTTACCAATTAGTTGGGTCTAAACACCAATGTCTCAGTCTCAAAGCACTTTCAGCACACCATCACCACCACATGGTCACAGCTGTCGTACCTTCTCTGCTTTTTTCAGGATACTTTGAGTAATTTCACTCAGATATTTGATAAATTCCAATGGATTTCCAAACTTCTCAGAGTATGTATGTTTAATAAGTTTTGATCTGTTGTGATGACTTTTGGAAGACTACCTTGATGACTACCCACTCTTTGGCTGTGCACAAGGTGAGCAGCCTGAACAGAAGAGCCTAGGCATGCTGGTGCCTGATGGGAGAGTGGTAGTGACACAAGTCTCCCCACAGAAATACTCACAGCTTTCTTCACGCTACTCCTGACATCAGAAGGAACCATTTCCTTTAGTCCTTAATTAGAAATAGAGATGGCTCAGGGGACAGCCTAGGAGCAGAGCAATAATTTTACCTGAAAAACCTGCAGCTGGATTTAATCTCCTACAAAGTCCAAAGAGTTATGTTGCCTCAGGCTAGGCTGAAAGTAATCATATAAAAAGCCTTAAGTTTGAAATGTTGAAAAATCTCCTTCTCTTTCTTTTCTTTCTTTTTTTTTTTAAAGCACACTATTTCTGACTTGATTTACCTCCCTCAGACATCACTTCTTGGAGCAGCTCAAATAAAAAGGTCTAATCTCCATAATGAACTGGGTGGAGACAGTGCACGAGTATCCTACTGTCCTTCTGTTTTAGGGAATGCCCAAATTTGCATTCAGAGGAAGATGTCCTTTTCCACAAATGAAAGCACTGCACCTTCACTGAGGAATTACACGCCTTTGCAGGTGTATGGTGTGTATTAACGATGCTGCCTGACCTTTTCAGAAACCACAAAATTGCTGCATCACTAAGGAGAGATTCAGGAAGGGTAGTGTTATTTTGTTACAAGATCACCATCCTTATAACAGCTGGCATCTTTGAGACTGTTAAAGACATGGGTAGGTAAATTGAAAGTGAGATTGCTGGTACTCCCCTTGCCTGGCATCAGTTTATTTTCTGGCAAAGGAAGGGGGCTGTGACCCAGGCAGCCCTACCAGCATGACAGAGGATGGTGTTACCACATGTATATGCAGACCTGGCGGCAGTTTCTGAACTTATCATTTACAGCAACGTGAAATCTCGCCTTTGCCTTTCCAGACCTTCCAATATAATTTTCCAGTCCAAAGATTTAGTTCATTATTTCTGTATTGTGAGGGTTTTGCTATACCCACATACACATTCACCTTCCTTCTACTCCCCCCCCCCAAATATTGTGATATAAATTTAGCTGGTGTAGCTTGTTTATTTGCAGTTAATGTTTACCCAGGAGACTGATGTCCTTCACCCCAGCAACTACCCATGGCACTTAGAATAAAATTTTCAGAACCTGAAGTCTAGATATACAAATTACAAAAGCAGAGTTGATGCTTCACCATTTAACTATTTCTTAAACTGGCAAACCCACAGTTCCTGCGGGCTCCTGGTAGGCCTTTGCTAGCGAAGACAGAGTTCCCAGGGCTGAGCCTCTTTACTGGATTTTATCAACTGCCCCATTTGTTTCTAAATTGACCCTTCTTATTCTGTAATCACATTAAAAGGCTCCATCAAAATGCCATGAGACTACAACACTCACTCCCAGTGTCGGGTGTGTTGGGAACGACACCATCCCCAACCTGCCAGGTGCAGTCCCTGAATATCCCCTGGGAGTGTACAGTGCTGATCTTGTTACAAACAAACAAACAAAAATCCATCCCAGAAACACAACCCATACCATAAGTGACTAAAAGATATGTGCACTTCAAGAATAAACCAGACCTGTGAACAAGTTTTCTGCAAGGACACATACATCTTTGAAATTAAATTTTAGCACACGGTCATTTTTGAATTATGAACAAAGTTGGAACTGCTTCAAAGCCATGGAAAACAGGCAATA